GGGACTGGGCTGCGCTCCTTCTGGGCACGCAAGGGGGCAGCTGAGGCTGGGGGGCGGGGGGCAGAGGTGGTTTGGGTTGACCCAGACAGCCAGGGGACAGCTCCCCCTGCCCTCCCCCAGGCCAGAGCAGAGCGGGGGGGGCCTCCATGGGGCCGGTGGGGGATGCTAGCTGCTGCCACAGCTCTGCAGTCTCTTGGCTCTCCCAGAGCTGGCAAAGCTACACCGGAGAAGCTACACGGGGAAAAAAGAAGAGAGAGCAGAAACTGGCCGAGGTGTCTTTTTTCTTGCAGGAAGAGCAGGCAGAACTGGGGAGGAATTCAGAGGAGAGGCAAGCTATTCCAGAAAGGAGACCTGCCTGGAATAAATTGGGGGATTCGTTGACACAGCATTTATTGGCAGAGGTGAAGGAAAAGGAGCATCTTGGTCAACTTAGTTTTTGGAGGATATGAAGCTACAGAGAGGAATCCTGCATCAATATTTATGGAAGAGGGGGGGGGCAGGGGAGAATTCTCAACTGCTCCGACTGGGACTAGGAGAGGCCAGAAAATCCCCATTCCCCCCAAAAACCCCGGTGGCTTTTAGTCAATGGAGTTGATCTCCGCTGAGCCATTATGGCCACAAGTTACAGACAGGCTCACTCTCCAGAGCTCTCTCTGATGACCGTCCAGTCTTAGAATCTGAGATGTCTGTTAATCCTTCAGTTTAGCCTCCAGGCTCATCATCATTTTTGTTGCTCTTCTCTGTCCATTTTCCAGATGTCTCAACATCTATGAACACAGTATTTCCAGTCTGGTCTCACCAGTGCAGTATGAAGAGGTACCAACAGTCCTCCTGATCTTAATGCTATCCCTCTGTTGATGCAGCCAAGGATTGCATCGGCTTTTCTGGCAGCTGCAACACACTGCTGGCTCATAACTTCAGTGATTGTCCACTAGGACTCCCAGATTTCTCTCACAGTTTCTATTGTTAAACCACAATTGTTGAGCCACTCAACCAATTTGTGCAATTGGTTTTTCCTGCCTATGAATCGGACCTTACCTTTCTCACCAATGAATTGCAGTTTTGTTGCACAGGATTGTAGAGATCCTTCTGGATCTTGAGCCCATCTTCTAATCAAGTGTTGGCAATTCCCCCCAACTCGGTGCCATCCGCAAATCCGATGAATTCCCCTTCTATCCCCTCATCTACATCATGCATGAAGAGGTTGCAAGAGTACAGAGAGTCCTCAAATTATGACAATCGAGCCCAATATTTCTGCTGTTGACATTTGTTGAGTGAGTTTGGCCCCATTGTACAACCTCTTGCCACAGTTGTTACGTGAATCACTGCAGTTATTAAGTTAATAGCAATAGCACTTAGGCTGCAGTTTACAGAGTCAGCATATTGTCCCCAACGATTTCGGAAACACGGTTGCTAAGTGAATCTGGCTTCCCCATTGACTTTACTCATCAGGTCACAAAAGGGGATTGCATGGCCTCAGGACGCTGTGACCGTCATAAATATGAATCAGTCACCAAGCATCCAAATTTTGACCACATGATGATGGGGACGCTGCAACAGTCATAAGTATGAAAAACAGTTATGTTTTTTTTCACTGCCATCATAACTTCAAGCGGTCACTAAATGAACTGTTTTAAGCCAAGTAATATCGTACTGGGCCCAGAACAGAACATTGAAGTACCTCATGCTTCCCATCATGTAGATGTAATTCCATTGAGTGCAGTTGGCCAGCCAATTACGACTCCATTCTTGGAGTCTTAGTGGACAACCAGCTAAATAGGAGCCAGCCGTGTGCAGCAGCAGCCGAAAAAGCCAATGCAATCCTAAGTTGCATTAACAAAGGGATACAATCGAGATCAAGGGAGGTACTAATACCACTCCGTAAAGCCTTAGTAAGACCACACCTAGAGTACTGCATCCAGTTTTGGTCACCCCACTATAAAAAAGATGTTGAGACTCTAGAAAAAGTACAGAGAAGAACAACCAGGATGATTAGGGGACTGGAGGCTCAAACATATGAAGAATGGTTACAGGAACTGGGCCTGGCTAGTCTAGTGAAGAGAAGGACCAGGGGAGACATGATAGCAGCCTTCCAGCATTTTAGGAGCTGCCACAGAGAGGAGGAAGGGGTCAAGCTATTTTCCAAAGCACCCGAAGGCCAGACAAGGAATAATGGATGGAAACTGATCGAGGAGAGATTCAACCTGGAAATAAGGAATTTTCTGACAGAACAATCAATCAGTGGAACAGAAGCTGCCTTCGGAAGTTGTGGGAGCTTCATCACTGGAGGCTTTCAAGAAGAGGATGGACGGGCCTCTGTCAGAAATGGTGTAGGGTCTCCTGCTTGGGTGGTAGGGGGGTTGGACTGGATGACCTATCAGGTCCCTTCCAACTCTGATTATCTGTTCTCCATCTGGAGGTGAAGCTGTCTGTCTCGCTTTGTTCTAGCTTTGTGGCTGACCTGCCCCCCAAAAAGTCACGGCAGCACAGGAGATCTGCAAACATAAGGAGTCTGGGGAGCAGGGCAGGAAGAAATCCCGGAGAAGTCCTGGGGATGCCCTGCACCTTCCGTCCACCCGCCCGCTCATGTCTGCCTTCCCTGAAAAGGAAGCTTCTCCTTTGCCCCGGAAGTGCTGCGCCAGCACGTGGTGTGCGGAGGGTTGCTCAGAGCAGAGTGCCTTGCGCACGCCCACAGAAATGGAAGGCGGCAACCCAGGAAGGCGTCCTTTGTGGCCGATGCCAGGGGCCCAAACTCTTTTGGGGGACTGGGCAGAGGTTAAGGAGGGCAGCAACTGGAGAGGCCCCTGCCTTCTGCATGGGACCCTCCCCTGCTCAAGAGACACACCCCCCCCACTTGGCAACTGTGCTGGTTCAATCATTCCTCCCCTCAAGACCCCAGCCTGGCTAGAGGAACGTGGCCTCCTGCACAGAGCCGAAGGAAAAGGGCTGCTGGAGTCGCATCCCTTTCCCCTTGGAGGAGCCCTCCCCCACTCGGGACCCTCTCCAAGGACCCTCTAGAGCAGGGCTCTCCAACCTTGGCCACTTTAAGCCTGGCAGACTTCAACTCCCAGAATTCCCCAGCCAGCTGCACTGGAGGAAAGGGAGCTTAACAGGGGAGGCAGCACCGTTTAACTCTCTCTGCTGGGACAAGACGCGTGGCAGGCGGTATTAAAAGGCATCCGTTTCGATGGGCCGCCGGTTGGAAAAAAGCCCCCCCAGACTCTTTGGGCTCAGCAGGGCTTTTTTCAGTTGCTGTAGAGTTATTTCAGCTGAACACGGAACAGCTGCATGGATTTGAGAGTCACGTGTTCTGATTAGAATCCAGTTCCTCACATAATCAAGATAATGAAAACCACATTCTAGGAAACGCACCCAGGCAGCCTGCTTTAAAACCAGCCACCCAACAGAATCACAGCCTCAAGTCAGGAAAGAGTTGAGTGTTTCGTGTCCCCCCCCACCTTTCTTCCTCCCTGCCAGCAGCAGCTCTCAGGGGAAATTCCCATTTTGCAGATGTCAGAAATGTTTGGAAGGGAAGAGGAGTTTGGGGACCAGAGAACTCGCCTCCCACCACCCACAGCCCTGGAGGAGGGTGAGACCCCAGAGCCTTTGCTTCTCCACCTCTTTCCCATGAGACAATCCAGGCCATCAGCCCAAGCCTGGGCCGCCGAGCACTGCTACCTTCCAAAATTCTGCTTGCGGTTCCAGCCCCTGGAGAGCCGCACTGTCGGCCCAGATCAGGGGTCCCTTCAAGGCAGCACAACAGCAGGACCAGGAGCCGAAGAATCCTGCCGCAGAGCCCTCCAGCAGGGCCCCTGGCTCCCACTATTGCAGCAGGCCGATCAACCTAACCCTAACCCTGCCAAGGGTTACGCTGTGCGGAGTCCGCGGGCCTTTGGCTGACGGAGGGGCAGACTGTGGGGCCAAGGCTGCTGGGAAGCCTGACCCGGGCTCAAGAGGGGCCAGAGCCAGGCGCCTTCTGCGAAACTGGCACCACGATTTCCACGCATCCTGGTTAAGGCACAATGGCCGCTAGGACCGTCCCTCGCACTATGCAGTAAACCAGACTTCTGGTGGCAGGAAGCTGGGAGCAGAAAACCAGTTCAATGCTGGGACTCTCCCCCACCCGCAATGGGGAGGGTGGAGGGTCCCCGGAGCTCTTCCAGCAGCCCCCACAGAACCCTGAAGGCGGGAGATGCCTCATCCGAGGCCTTGAAGCTGAGGCCACAACTAGCCTCGACTCGGAGCCTCCCCATCATTTGGGCCCTCAGAAGGTTTACGGGCCCCAAGATGACGGCTCTCAGCCCGGCAAAGGCGGCGTTTTAGCAGAGGCGCTTCCTTCTGCGGGGGAAACGTGTCCCTCCCCTCAAAGGTGAAGCCCGCCATTCTCTCCAACGGGCCACCGGTCACCCCCCATCGCGCTGCTGGGGGGCGGGGAGCAGGCAAGCGACCAAGCCAGCCGCCATCCCCGACGCGCGCCGGCCAAGGGCCCGCGGCCAAGAGGCGAAAGGCTCGGGGACTGCCGCTTCTCCGGGCACAGCGCTGGAAGAGGCGCCCGGTCGTGGCCCCGAAGCCCGCCGGACCGCACCGCTGCCCAACGCCGCTTCTGCCACCTCTCCGGAACCGGCCACAGTCCCGGCGGGGCCCCTCAGGCCAGGCGCAGAAAAAGGCGCCTCCGGAGCCGAGCCGGACTCAGCCTCCCCGGCAGCCCGGACCCAGCTCGGCAGCGTCTCCGCGGCGCCTCCCCCGGTCGCAGCTTCGCCGGCCGGCCCAGCCTGCCTTCCGACGCGACCGCTGCCTCGCTCGGTCGGCGGAGATGCCCGGCCCGGCCCGCCCCCCGCCGCGCCTCCCCGGACAGAAGTTTCTTCCCCGCCGCGTTTCGCCTTTGCCCCTCGCCCGCCGAGCTCCCCGCGTGAGGCCGCCGCTCGGGAGGCCGCCCCCGGCGCGGCGTTTCCCGGCAGCGGCAGGCCCGGAGAGCAGCCCGGCCGCGCCGCAGCCCCCACCTGGATGGTGCACGAGTACTCGTTGTCGTCGAGGAGGCGGACGGTGCAGCTGTAGTCGCGCTCCAGGCTCCTGCTGCTGCCGCTCACCAGCCGGCTCAGCATCTTGGCCGGGGCAGCCGAGGGGGGGGCGGCGGCGGCGGACGGGGGCTCCGCGCCGGCTCCCTTCACATGGCCGGAGCAGGGGGCTCCCTGGCGGGCGAGGACGGGTGCCGCCACCGCCGCCGCCGCCGCTCCCGCCGCCGCCAGCCTCGGCTCGCCTTGCACAAAGCCCGGCTAGGAGGGAGCGCGCCGGCCAGGCGGCGAGCGGCGCGGCTTTCGGGGGCGGGCGAGGGGGCTGCGCCGAGGCGAGCCAGGCTTGCGGGTTCGCGGCCGGCGAGGCCAATCCGGGCCCG